AATCCCCTGAACCTATTGTTACTTAAAGGGTGTGTCAAGTCAATAGTAGATAACTATTGATAAAATTTGGGAGTATTATGTCTTGAATAATGTTGAAGAATAGTTTTTAACGCTAAGAATAAAATGTGAAAAAAAAATATAATTATCTTTTCTTAATATGATAAAAATAACAAGTAAAAATGAAATCAATTTTAAAAATAAATGACAAGAGTAGCATGTCATAACTTTAAACTTTTTTGTACAATATATATATTTTCTATTATAAAGAAGAGTCAAGTTAAGGACGACCAAGGACAAATTTCTATTATATAGAAGCATGAAGAGGAGGACAATTAAGAATATTTTTATCAACCAAAAATAATTTCAAGTTTAGTTTAATTGTACCTAGTGTAATACAATATTTAATTTTCTAAAAAGAAACAACAAAAAATTATGTAATTCCCAATGAATTCACCACTAAGTCAATAATTGTGGATTATAATGGCCACACATGTACCAATACATTTGAAGGAGAAAAAGAAATCATTTCAAAGTTATATGGACATCATTTATTGATCTATTATAGCTTCAAAAGCCTGTATATTCAAGTTGATATATTTTTTAAATTTTTATTTTTATTTTTGAATGTATAATTTTTAATGAGATTTCTTATATCAAAGTTCAAATTTAAGGGCTTTTAATCATTTCCCTTTTAAGTATGGTTTGGTCGTGAAAAAACTATTTATTTTATTTAAATAATTTATAGTTGAAGTCGTTAAAGTTTGTGCAAAAAATATTTAGAATATAAATATAATTTTTCTAAAGGCATAATACATAAATATGTCATTTAATTTGGTATATCTATCATTTATGTTCTTTAATTTTAGATGTTTACAAATAAAGATATAATCTAGTATAAAATTGAACAAGTTGACACTTGTGTGCTACTTGACGTCCTACATGACAATATAATTCACGTCATATGCGACATTTTATGTCGCTCCTACGTCTGTTATTCCCTACAGTATGCGTGTATCTACTTCAACTTTAGAAAATTTGAAGTGCTTACTTGTGCATGCCCTAAGTTGAATGCCATAGATGTCAAACGAAGTCAAGTTAAAAGATATATTTATATATTATGTTTTTCTAAATATGGTTTATGTTCCTCAGTTTCTAAAACTTACTAGGCTAATTTACATGAGAAATACAATCAAAGTGCACTAAATAAAATAATATCTCAAAATAAATAGTTATATAATGTCATAGATCAGATCTCATATAAGAACTACCACATACTATTACAAAAAAAACACTTTTTTTTAAGTTGAACTTGTGTTAATCCATTGATTTTGCAAATAATATATAACTATTTGAATATATTTTTTTAAAAAAAAATGGCTCAGTTTTATAAGAATAAATAATTTGTGATGAAATTTTAAAAATGATAATATAGTTAGGAGCCATTTGGTTATTAGTTAATATTAGTTATGCATGATTTATTTATGCAGAATTTAGTTATGTGGTATTAGTCATGTAGAGATTACAACAATACATAAATTATTAATTGCTTAACATATTATTTACAATTAATAAGCAAGCAAATAGTATAATTTCACACACACAAAAAAAAACTCTATACTTGAGTGGAATTTCTATTTTATTTCAGGAAAATGCACAAGTACCCCTCAACATATGACCGAAATTTCAGAGACACACTTATACTATACTAAGTCCTATTACCCCTGAACTTATTTTATAAGTAATTTTCTACGCTTTTTAGCCTACGTGACACTAGTTTGAAAAAAATTAAGTCAACCATCGTTGGGCTCACAAGATAGTGCCATGTAGGTCGAAAAAGGATAAATTGGAAACAAAAGATTCACCAAAAAAAAATATCTTTCTTTCTTCCGCCATGGCTTCAGAGGACAACGAGGTACTCGTCGATCTCCATAGTTGGAAGAACCAGCTACGGGATATCCTCGAAAGATATTACCATCTCATCTCACGTTTCTGCTAGACTCTACCTTCCAAAAAATACTAATGTCTTTTGTAACGTAAAAATTCCTGTATTAGTATTTTATGACGGTGGCGGACTTGTAATTGGATCTGCTTTTTTCAATGACATACATTATTTTCTGAATCACTTGGTGTTTAAATCTAATGTGATTTGTGTCTCACTAGAGTATAGATTAGCCCCAGAGAATGATTTGTCAATATTGTACGAAGATGTTGGACTGGGCTTTAATGGGTGGCTAGTCATCACAGTGAAAATGATGACGGATCTAGTAATGCTAGTTATAAAGAATCATGGTTAACTAGCTATGCTGATTTTAACAGGGTGTTCATTGGTGGAGAAAGCGCCGGAGGTAATGCTACATATTTTGTTTTAATTTATCAGTCTTATTTTTTAGTTTGTTACAGAAATAATGTTATTTATTGTATTTAGTAACTTTTGATTAATTACCAATAAGAATTGTAATGGAGGGTAAGAGATTTCGAGTTTGAATCTCCTTGGATATAGAGTCGCCTTAACCCTGAGATCTCGAGTTCGAACTTCCTTGGATACGAACACGCCTTTGTTAAGGAAGCGGACAATGTGTGACTTTCCAACATGAATCTGAATTTATTCGGGCTCCAGTGTTGATACCGAATATCCAATGAAAAACCCAAAAATTAACTTTTGATTAATTATAACATCTTAAGATTATTGTATTCAAATGACATTATAGTAAATTGTCTTCATTTTTAATATATATATATTTAAAAAAAAGAATTTGAGATTCGAACTTGAAACCTCAGGTGAATATTAAATCCCTTGTGAACGGCTAAGTAACCTCTAATCTTTTGTACAAAAAGGTTCCAAATCTATATAAATATACATAAAAAAAAAGAAGTTAAGGTAATTTTTTTAACCTTTATAAGTTCATACCTTTTGTGCCGAGAATGAGCAATAAGGCCAGGTTATTTGAGATTTGGGTTGAGTAGTGGACATGAAACGGTTCCATAAAAAAAGGTAGTGATATGTGATTTACACTTTGTTTGGTTCGTTGTTACCTATTGTTTCATAATGTATTCTATTCTATTTTATTGTACTGTATTGTTTGGTAGAGACAATGTTTGGTTGGACTGTATTATTTATTGTTGTTTAATAAGATTTTAATTGTTTGGTTTGATTGTATCGTACTGTAATGTAATTTATAAATTTACTAAAATATCCTTAATTATTTTAGGGTAGGAGGTTTGACTAGATTTAAATAATTAAAGTAAAATTGTATTTTGAAATATTATGTAAAGATATAATTGAAAAAAGAAATTAAGTAACAACGCGAACACACCAAATTGGTTGTTCCATAAATAGGGGTTTTAATTTATGTAACAACGAAATTTAACAATACAATACAATACATTTTAAGTAACAATCAAAACAAATATTGTAGCTATAGAAACGATACAATACAATACAATGCGTAACAATGATCCAAAAATTTCTTTTGTTGAGGAAAATGTCTAGTTCTCTCATCCCATTTCTTTGAGTTCAACTTCTCATCCCTTTCTTCTTAGTGTGTTCTTAAATTCCCTTTCAGTTTTTAAATTACTTTGTAATTTCAATTACAAGTTTGTGAATAGATTTATTGATCGTTTGAATTTGAATTATGTGGATCTTGCTATTGGGTTTGCTACTCAATGTCTTGGTAAGGTGCACATGATAAATTTAAACTATATACTTTGGAACGAAGCAAATAACTTTGTTTCAAAACATGAGTCAATAATAATCTTTTTTCTTATGGTTATAATAGACATTTTAGTAGTTTTGTTTTCCAACTTATTCCTAGCTAAGTTGTAAACCACACAAATATTCTGAGGTGGTTGGTTATATAGTTATACCGTAACTAATTATTCTAACAAAGTATCAAACACCAAACGTTACAAATTCTACCTTCCCTTTTTTATAGCATCTATATATATACAACAAAAGAAGGTTCATTTCTTCGCAACGTCTCTATAAACAACTCGACCTGCATTGCAGGGAGGGCAAATTAATTACTACGTCCACCATTGTTCGTTGACAAACAGAGCGAAGCCATAGTTTTGGTGGAAAGGATGACGGAAGAGATAGTCATGAACTCGACCAACAACATTGACAACAACAAAAGAACTCCGATGGATGACATTATTGTCAAACATAAGAAAAAACAGGGTGCTTTTGGCTTTCTCAGAGCTGCATCACTCAAGTTTCGTCGTCGTTCCCTTGATCTAAAACAACAGAAATTTACTCCGGTATGCTTTGAAAATTTCATTATTGTAGACACATATATAGTCGTAATTCACTGATTTTAAATTTCGAATACATACTACAACAGGAACCCGCGCCCCCTGTTGATTCAAAGGGAGAAAATTGGAAAAAACTGGTAGGGTCCATGAGGCCTTTACATCTCCAAGACAACCAATCACCACCGAGTCCTCGTGACACTCAACCACCACCACCGGCAAAAACTACATCACTGCCTGTAGAATTCAGTGAACAATTTTCCTCAATGTACTCTCCAACGCCGTCAACGTCCTCCATTAGCACCATGAGTCAATATGCTTCAGCAAATAATCTACAAGATCTCTACGACGACGATGAAGAGGAAGAGCAAGAAGATCCTGATCAGGTATTTGATGCCATTGGAGGAGATGACATGATTGATGCAAAGGCAGAGAATTTCATTGCTCAATTTTACGAACAAATGAGACTTCAAAAATGATTCAGGCAATTAATCAAACACATACAAGGCATCAACAGAGCGTAATCGTAACCATCAAATCAATTTCCTTCATTTTGTAGTAGTAATGCTTTAAATTTAATTTACTACTTCTTTTTTTTTAGCAAAAGGTATAATATTTCACAATTAACGTAGAAATATCACTGCCTTTTTTGCTTTAATGTCTCTTAGATATCTACGGTTAATTCGTTCCAAAAGGAGCAGAATTTTTCTCTCTCTCAATATCAAGAAACTAGTGAAAGAAAATCCAAATTATTTATGTTCTTTCATTATGTTTGTTCTAAATTGCTGAGGAAATTACGATGGATTACATCGTAATTAAAGGATATGTATCGAAATCTAAGAGAATTTTTTGTTTAAGATACAATTGTTGTTGCTCTCTTATTTTGCTCATATTCGTTGCCAAATTTTGGCCCAAGTTGGGTCTTCAATTTTATAAATCTACTATCAAAGTTACCATATATCTTGAAAAATGATAAATCAATTTCATAGATTTGATAATCAAAAAATCATAACAATAAAATTTGGCAAACCATTAACTAGAGGAATAATGACTTAAAACTTCTAAGGAAAAAATAATCTCAATTTTTAAATAACATGCAAACAAATTAGATTTTCAATTTGCAAAAAAAAAAAAGCCATCCCCTAAGTACTATATGAAATTAGACCAATCATCTCTATGTTTCCACCCTCCTCAAACAAATGAAGAGACAACGAAACATTCGATGCATAAAATATCTCGTATTAATAAAGTTGGAGTGCTTAAAACATCTTATGTTAGTAGAGTCGGAAATGATAATGAATCAATATCCATGGATGATTTCAGAGCATTTATTTTTGAACCATCTTAGTCCATTTCTAATTGAAGTTTTGACCTTTCCTTCAATAGTGTAAACTTTGTACTTAGCTATTCTTTTTCGTCTCTTCATCTCTGGATCATTGAATCCCCATGGCTTATTCCACGATGGCGCTGCTGCCACCTGACTCGGCCACGTCCCCTTGCTCGTTACCCCAGCCAGATCCGGTGACCGAGCCCGATTTACCTATACAGGTTAACAGCCAGAATTTTCATTAAAAAAATTTAAAGTATAAAAACATGAAAAAACAATATTTATTATATTTAATGGACCAAACATTTAGATAAGCTTATTTTTACCATGTAGATACTCAAATAAACCGCTTGCGTTTCTAGCTTCGTAATTTAAGGGGTGTTATTTGAACTTCATCAAAATTATAGGTTTAAAAATAATTATTCCTTTTATTTGCATATACATATATTTATTTTTGGATAATTAAAAAAAAATATTAGGTTCAGTTGAACATTCGCGTTACTAATAATTACCTGGTTGATGTTGAACCCCTTTCCGCTAATGATCTCCAATCTCCGGTCATCGGAACATCGGAAACTCGGCCGGAACTCTTCCATATGTAATCGTAGACTATATATATTATATAAAAGTGCAAAATGTAAACTTGCCAAGAGGATATAGAAAAATTCAAGAATACATTTGGGAATGTGAAATGGTAAATATTGTAATAGGCTTTCTAAATAAACTATTACAAACAATTTATTTTTTTTCAAAAAAAAAAAGTGAGACACCTGTAACATGGAACAGTACTTTAGCTGTAATTGGGCTAATTTATTTTTTTCAGATTAGATTCTGTAATGGTGGTAACCCAGTACTCGATGACACTTTAATTTTATTTATTTATTTGCAGCATTATTTAAATAGGGTATTTTTATGACTATTTGGTACTATGGTGTTAAAATTAATTTTGAAAAATAATAATGCTAGGGATTTATTATTATGTCGTGCAAACCTCGATGGTATCGATCTTGTCACCTTAAAAGTAATCATAATTAATTTTGGTTGGCCATGATGAGAAAAGTCCACAATTATTCTAGTTACACCAAAAGGGTATCCAAAGTGATGATTAATACTTTTAATTAATTAAATTAATAAATATGACTATAAGAATTTCATGCACATTAGTTAGAATATTCATTGAACATAGTTGTAAAGTTCTAAAATAACTACTTCGTTTAATTTAATAAAAATACTCCTTTTTGGCAAGATTTTAATTTGAGTTTACACGTGATTTGTCTAAGACCACGTAATTAAAAGTTATGTTAGTATATTTGATATAACTATAATTTAGAACCATAAAATTAATTTTTATTTATTTATTTTTTCAAACATTATGTCAAATTAAACGACTACATGACAAAGAAATTATTTAGATTTGAAACGATTTTATTTTATTTTGGTTTTAAATTGAGTATAAAAATGCCATTAGCCTATTGAAAATAATCTAAATTCTGTTTTCCTTCCATCTATAAAAAAAATGATTTAAATTTATCTTCATTAATAAAAATTAACCTCAAAATATTATTATATACTTCTTTCATTTCATATTAATTTAATTTTTGATATATTTTTTATTTTTTAAATTAATTTATATTTAATTTTTAAGATTATTTTAAATTTTTTAATTTTATCCTTTATTATTTAATATTAAAATTAATAATTAATTAATATTCAATTATTTTAACATATAAAATTCAATTAATATGAAATAAAAAAAATAGCCTGATTAATTCAGATATATATTGATAGCGTAAAAGATTTGTCAATCCACTAATTTTGGTCAAAGACACTCATGCCCACAAAACACCGGTCTCCAACACCAATCATACTTCCCAAGACATTTTAGCTAGTTGATACTTCCATAAAAGAAAATTGTGGTAGTGTAATATAAATAGGGTTCTACTTTTAAAGTTATTAGATTTTAATATAAATATTGAACATTAAATGTCAATTAAATAATTAATATAAAAATATCGCAGCCACTAATTCCAATTGATTTTACATCTAGTTAACACAATTATTTCAACCTTTAATATAGGTGAAATCTTAGAAATTTAATCTCAATGATTATCAAACAATTAAATTTTGAGTGAGTAATTGGTACTATTCATGAGTTGCGTCATGTGAAATAATAGTATCTAGTCAATTCAAATTTGACATACATCTGTCATCTTTTAATTTCGTTAAAAAAAGATATTTTTCATCATAAAAGACCATTGATGTCAAGTAGATAGAAGAATGAACTTTTAAGGATAACCGGGGTTAAGTTTATCTTAGATTACGCCATATAAGCCAAGTTTGAAAGTCATCGAGCTCTCACCTCTTTTAATGAGAGTCTGTCTCATTCCTAACTATTTATCATTCAATAAATGATCGATAAATAATTTATTAATATAAATATGATTTAATTTAATTGTTTGATACTTTATAATTCTACATAACAAAGTATTCAAATGATATTTACTCTTGCCATTTTAACTATGGGAGAGATTTTATCCTTAATCCTTCCAGAAAAAACTATTCAAACCTTAAGAGTATTCGAGTGCGTGTTCTTTGTTATAATTCACCTCAAATTAAAAGTCTAAAAACTATTCATACCTTAAGAGTATTCGAGTGCGCGTTCTTTGTTATAATTCACCTCAAATTAAAAATTCTTTCTCACACACACATATAAGTCTTGTGTCGTTGCATTCATTTTCAAATATATTTCTAATGGTTAATTGAAACTCATGAATACGAGAGACATTTTTGTCATTTATAAAAAAAATAAATCCATCACAATTCAAATCCTAATGTCTTATAGAGAATAGCAGAAGAAAAAATATAATTGAGAGACCTTCTACTAACCCAAGATCGTTAATTAAGATCGAAAGATTCAACTGAAAAGAGAATTAGAAAGAAGATTGTATTTTTGAATAAGAGAACTTTGTTATTTAAGAAAACTCTTTGATTTAGGTTTGTTTTTGGTTGGTTACAAAATTACTATACTTGTGTAAGAATGATTCTAAATACTTTTTTAGCTATATATACAACAACAATCTAGATAACCTTATCTTCTATCTATTTAATAAAAATGTAAATATTCTTATAATTAATCCCAAATATCTAATTTTTTAAAACAAATTCATTTGGTAGAGTGTATTAAAAAAATAATGCATGCATTAGCTTTGTGTATTACTAGTACCTTGTTTGGTACTCTTTTTCAACCTATTTATAAACTATATTGTGCATTAAGGTGTGTATGACTAATACCATGGATTTCTAAGCATTAACAATGCAATGCTTTTGATGCATGCGTTAACTCAATTAAAAATTATATATATATATATATATATATATATATATATATATATATTCCACTCTAATAGTGAAGTGTATCTTTGTAAATAATTTTCTTAATGCAATGCATTTTATTTTTAATGCATTAAATCAAACAATGCATAAATATAATCTATTTATAATTAATGTAAGCATAACTAATACATGATTGCTATTGCAAGCATTACAAATACACTTTATTTTGCATTATATTAATACACTCTATTAAATAACCTCTTACACTATTCTTAGATAATCAAGTAGCTAGGAATCGTTTGGCTTGAATACAAGTTATGATGAGTTAAGTTGTGCTGAAATTATTTTTTATTGAGTGTCTGGTTTGTTATTTTCAAAATAATATACATCACATAAAATTTAAGAACAAATAATTTGTTTACAAAAATACCATTTTATGAATGTGAAAAATGATGTATAAAAAAGGTTTAAAAGGATACCTTTGTCCCGAGATGAGCTATCCCAAAATTACTGTACCGTCCAAGGGGAGGGATAACTTATTCCGATGCTAGCTAGTAATCCCAAAATAAGTTAGCCTTAACTTGCCAGTCAAACAACAAATCAAGTGATACTATAATTTAATCTCACGACTATTTAGTGTCAACTTCGATTACCTTCAAAAAATCATCTTAATTTTTCATGCTTCTTCTCTATTGCAGGAAGGCTAAACCTACGGATGACACCTCATGTTTGATCTCGATGTGTTATTTTAACACTTATTTGCTAAGTTCGTGCCAACTTTAGATACCAAAAGATATTTAAATCTTTTTCCTAAAATACCTTTGTATAATTTTTACTAGTAAAATATTCCTTTTGGATAAATATTTACGTTTTTGCCCTAACATATTAAACTGGACTACGGGGGTAAACCTGGCTTTACTCAAATCTCACAGTTGTTCAGTCGATTCCCGGCAACTCCATCTGTGCCAGTTCTGTGCCGCTCCGCCGTGGTTTCCACCGGCGTTCGTGTTCGACTTCTCCGGCGACTTCTCCAACCCAAGGTATTCTTGTTATTCTATTCTTAGCTTGTGTAGATAGAGTTTGTGGATATTTGAAGCTTAATTTGTTAGCTGATTTATGTGCCAGGCCGGCTGTGCTAGCTATTGTTCTATGCCACAATCACAAACTACGGAATGAGATATATTAATTTCCTGTAACTGTTCTGCTCTATTCGGGCTCATTTTATGTGGTGTGTTGATTATTTGTGAAAATTTCTTTATCTGATGTCTAATTTATTGTACTATGCTTCTCTGGAATTTGAAATATTGGTTTATTAATAGAGCGACTTGAAATGGCTTACTGCGCCAGTGTAAAAGCATTCATGGTATTCATGTTCTATTTTACTTTAGGAACTAATTTACTAAAAAGTACAATTAGTAGAATTGATAAATTTTGGCAGTTCTTCTTCAAATTGTTTTGTCTCCTTAAGGGCCTACGAGAGAGCTATGTGCGAAGCTAACAAGAAGATGTTTTGATGATTAACAAATGATTAGTAAGACATACTCACTCTGTCCCAATTAATGTGATGTTATTTGACGTGGCTTGAAGTTTAAGAAAGAAAGAAAGAATTTTAAAATTTGTCGTCTAAAATAAGTCATAGATATTTGTGAGGCTATAATTATCTCAAGTGTTAAATGAGCATTTTGAAGTTAATTTGTTACTACTAAATATACAAATGTGTCATTTTCTTTAGACTTACTAGAAAAGAAAGTGTCACCGAGGGAGTAACAAACATATGCAAAGAACCAGGTGTCATACATGTCTCAAATAGAACGGGTAGTAGTTATGACAAAGAACTTCTTTAACATGTTTACTACAAGAGATGCTATCAAGAGTTTACTACAAGGAGTGTTTACAAGTTCCCCCGAGTATTATCTATGTTCAGATTTGATTAGGGATAAGCATATTGATATGTTTAGTTTCTTTATGACTATTTTTATTGTATTATGAAAAATCCTCGTGAAGTACATTTAGATTTGGGTTTATCAAGGAAAATGAAGGATCCATGTAACACAGGGTATAGTTGCTCTTCACATAGTATTTGATAAATTGAAGCCTGCTTTCAGCCTGCAACAATAGATATCCTTTTACAGGCTGCATGATAATAATCATGATGATCATGCCTTAATTTTTAGCACTTCAATGATAATCTAAGTGGTTCAGAACCTTCATGACACTAGACTCTTTTCTTCTTTTGTTTTCAGTTTTGTGCTTTTGCCTTCTGATCCATATCTTTTCTTTGTGTCTTCCTCTCCTCTCTGCAACATTGGATGTTTTATACAGCTCGCTCTGCATTACTGGCTGCATATATAGCTTGTGAAGATGGTATTATCATATCCATAATCCGACTTTTCTAGAATTGGGAAATGCCCGAAATAACAAACATAGCAAAAGAAACATTTGAAAATGGGACAGATTCATCTCAGGATGACACTGGCACTGTTGAGGAAATGCCTGAGGATACAATCTTACAACGACAAACGTCTGTGAACCTTATTCCTTTCATTGGTCAGAGGTTTGTATCACAGGACGCTGCATATGAATTTTACTGTAGCTTTGGAAAGCAATGCGGCTTCTCAATTAGACGTCATCGTACTCGGGGGAAGGATGGAGTTGGTAGGGGCATTACAAGAAGGGATTTTACATGCCATCGTGGTGGCTATCCACAACTAAAGCCTTCAGACGATGGCAAGCTGCAAAGGAATCGAAAATCATCACGTTGTGGGTGCCAGGCATTCATGAGAATTGTTAAAAGAGCAGATCATAATGTCCCTGAATGGCGGATTACAGGTTTCAGCAATGTTCATAACCATGAACTTTTAAAGTCAACTGAGATGCAGCTTATTCCTGCCTACTGCACCATGTCTCCTGATGACAAGAGTCGCATTTGCATGTTTGTGAAAGCTGGGATGTCAGTTCGGCAAATGCTGAGGTTGATGGAGCTAGAGAAGGGAGTTAAGTTGGGTTGTTTACCCTTCACAGAGGTCGATGTCAGACACTTCCTACAATCTTTTAGAAATGTGGACCAGGATAATGACCCTATTGACCTTCTCAAAATGTGCAAGGAGATGAAAGACAAAGACCTGAAATTCAAATACGACTACAAGATAGATTGTAATAACAGGTTGGAGCATATTGCCTGGTCTTATGCTTCATCAATGAGGTTATACGAGTATTTTGGTGATGCCATAGTATTTGACACTACTCACCGCTTGGATGCCTATGATATGCTTCTTGGGATATGGATTGGAGTGGATAACCATGGGAGTCATTGTTTCTTTGGTTGTATACTTCTTCGGGATGAAAATATGCGGTCGTTCTCCTGGGCATTGAAGGTATGAAGCCGTGCAATCTTGTTTCTGTACCGTTATACTAATTGCATTTATTAAGTGTTGAATTTTCTTTAAATCCGCTTAATTTTCCAGACCCAAAATGCTTCAAGTGCTTGAAATGCCTATCAGGTGCCTAACAATAGCAGTCTGAGAGAGTTCCCAGAAAATACTGATGAAACTAGTGCAAAAAATATGTGTTTTTCTCCTTGCTCTTACTTATTACTTCATATGTTAAGAAGGAAAAAAGGATTATTCATCAGTTCAGATGTTATGGAGCTATTTAAGATAACTGTATAAATTGGTGATGGAGGAAATAATTGAACTAAATTTTGTAATTAGTGTGCAAGTATTAACATCAGATCAGATTCCAAATTTGAGATATGTTGTTTGATTGTTGAAGTACAAAAGGTCATATATAAGTTGGCAAATACTTCTGAGGCATTAGAAATGTTAGGAAGAAGAGGGTTCGTTCGGCTGTACCCAAATCATAAAAAGTATGAGTATTTTGCAGGGATAAATTAGTTGTTGCACAGGCTTTGTGCAGCTGATATATTACGACATGTTTCAAGCTTAAAAGAAGAATATATCATTTTCTTTATTAAAAAAAGAAGAAGAAGATGTTGCATGCTGCAGCTAGTTGGAAAATCTCTTGCTTGATAAATTATTATTCATTTGTTGGCTTGAGCTTTATAATTTGCTTGACTCGCCTTATCCCAATGACGATTCTTCACCTTGGCTTTGTAATCTTTCTTTGATTTTCCTCTTTTCTGTTTTATGATACAAAACTCACTACTTATATCTTTTTACCAATTATCCCCTCTCCTTATCATCTTTTGTTTGTACATATGTTTGTTACGGGCATAAGGTCTAGCAAGCCATCTCAGTTCCATTCTGGTATGAATAAGCTACAAGCTTAGCTGTAACAATTGCAGATATCTTTGAGATGCACCTTTCTATCCATAGCTTGCAATTCCTGTGGCTCCATGCTAATACGAATCCCTTTGTTTTGCTTTGTTTCTCTTAAATTTGTGCTAGACATTCTTGGGCTTCATGAATGGCAAGACTCCAGCAACCATGTTGACTGATCAAAACTTGTGGCTCAAAGAAGCCATTGCCACTGAAATGCCAAGAGTAAAACATGCATTTTGCATTTGGAATATAACTTCGAGGTTTTCAGAATGGTTTTCGACACTTCTTGGATCCCAATATGATAATTGGAAGGCTGAGTTCCATCGCCTCTACAATTTACATTCGATTGAGGAATACGAAGTGGGATGGAATGAGATGATCGAAACCTACCAGCTGGATGGAAATAAACACATTGCCAGTTTATATGCTTTACGTTCATACTGGGCACTGCCCTTTTTGAGATCTTTCTTTTTTGCTGGAATGACGAGTACATTTCAGTCGGAGACTATAAATACTTTTATACAGAGGTTTTTGAGTGCTCAATCTATACTTGGTAATTTTGTGGAGCAGGTGTGAGATTCTCACTTAACTTTTGTTTCTTCGAAAGTTTAATTATTACTCATTTGATTCTTCTGCAATTTTTTTTCTGATAACTTAACATTCTGCAGGTTGTTCGTGTTGTAGATGCTAAAGATCAAGCAGGAGCAAAACATAAAGTACAGAGAATTGTTCAAAAGGTTCCCTTGAAAACAGGTTCACCAATAGAATCTCATGCTGCTAATGTTCTTACACCATTTGCCTTCTCAAAACTACAAGAGGAGCTTGTTTTTGCACCACAATATGCATCACTGATGGTAGATGAAAGTTATTTCGTCGTGAGACACCATAAGGAAATGGGAAGGGGTTACAAAGTACTCTGGATTCCGCATGATGAGTTCATTAGCTGTAGCTGCCATAACTTTGAGTTTACTGGTATTCTCTGCAGGCATGTGCTTCGTGTTCTATCAACAAATAATTGTTTTCACATTCCAGACCGATATCTGCCCATGCGCTGGCGTGAGTTTACATCCTCTGTGGCTAAGCCCACACTCTTATCCCTACCAAGTGATCATTTGGGAAAAGTTCAGTTATTGCAGTCCATGATTTCAACACTGATTAATGAATCAGTTGAAACCGAAGAACGCCTCAATGTTGTTTGTGATGAAGTTTCTACAGTTTTATCTCGCATTAAGGGGTTACCTACAGCATCCAATTCGGGTAATGCTATTGCATATGAGAGCCCATCAAACTCGCTGATTCTTGCAGAGGTTGAGGATTCTGAAGGCATTGGTCAAAGCTTCACTTGCAGCCCTCACGAGTGTATAAATTTGGCAAAGTTAAAAGAGAGAGGATCCAGAGATGGACTGGATTTTTATGGAAAGAGGAGACGTTTCTCCATTCCATGTTGTGGACAGTATGGCCATGATGCAAATGATTGTCCAATGATGGAAGGTGAAGATTTGAATGGAGATAGACTTGGCTTTTTATAGCAGGAATGTTGTGAAATGGAGCTAGGCGCTTTGAATGAAGTAGGGAAATATATACCATTCCTTCTGTTCATAACCGACAGTTTCTCCTCTCTTAATGCAAATGCTTTATACCTTTAAACTTTCGCGACCCAAACAATCGACTCTTAATATGCTGGAATACCACTTTCTGACCTACATTCTTTTTTTGTAACAAATGAAGGTCCTCCTTTCAGGGATCAAAGAAGGAGCGTTCTTATTTCTGTTCTACCAATCTCAACTCCTAAAAGAAGAGGAAAAAGAAGCATTTATGATATAGCACTATGATTCGCATGCCTCAAGGGGAAAACAGAGCGAGGTTAGATGATATAATATTGATATTTAGTTAAAATCCAATTGCTGCTAGATACATGTGATTCTTCTCTTTTCTTTCTCCCCTTCATCCTGTGATAGTGTTTGTTTCGATAAATTTTCGATGGTACAAGTTGACTAATGTACAAAAACGCAGGTCTACATTCCACTAGTTGGATATCTATTCTAAGCTTATGTAGTATATATTACAATTTAATACATGTATTCGGTTCAAACAACATTTACAAGCCTACCTATAGGATGTGATACTACTGTTTGGACTGGCACTTGTGATGCCATAACATGATGAAATGAAACATTCTAGTAATTTTGATCTTCATCAGCTAAAGAAACTTTGCTTAGCCTGCTGGGCAATGTCTTAAGATCATTCATGTTCCTGACTTTTCTGGCTCTTCCTCGTCTGCTGCCTGAACCAAACACAGCTCTATGTGCCAACGCTTTGCCTAAAAGCCGGTACTCAGCCCTGGAAGCTTTGCTGTGGTCTTGATGCCTTGTCTCACCATCATCACACTCCTCGTGGTAACCGCTGGTGTTGTAGGTTTCAGAAGCTCCATAAGTTGCTTTCTCAGCAGCCATTATATTAGAAAAACACCAAAGGTGGAGGAGTAGGATGGTGGTATGAAGGAAATCAAGAAGTGGATGAACTTTTTTATAATGGGAATAAATGTTTATAAAGAGTTAGGGGTTGAGGACAAAAGACATATATGAATGGGGACGGTTAAATTGGGTCGTTGATGGTGGTATTAAAAAGGTAAAGTTGGAAGAGTTTTGAAGCAAAGTTTCATATAGCCGAAAGGTTACATCTTACGCTAATCCTATTGCATGCATTTATTAATGTCTCTTAAGTAATAAGGAATAATATATTACACTTATAAAAATGCCTTCATCATAGTGCTTCCTTTAATAATTTGCTGCCTTCATCATCATAGTTTTACTGTATCTTCATTTTATCACTAGAAGCATAGGTAGAGAGACTGAGTCGGGATTTGAAGTTCATGGGTTATGAATTTGCCATTGAATCTATATCTCGTTTCGTTTTATGTACTGCTTTAAATTGTATACCCATCCATCAAAATAATAGTTTAAGCGGATATAATTATTTTTGACCGTCCAAGTAAATGTGTAACTAACTTGCCCTGACAACAAAGTATTAGTGGGATAGCCCTTTTTAGGTTACAAGAATCTCATTTTTTTTCTTAATGGAGAGGATGCTTGTGCTTGACACTAAAACAATTCCTTATCTACCATCCTAAAAATTAGTATATTTCTTTATAAGATGGTAATGGAACCAGAGGATTTGTTCTTTTTTTTAACTACTTTACCCTTCTTTTTCACCTTATCTAGTGCTTTCTACAACTTTCATCCTCACCATATTCCCACATTTTGGCCCCACTGTTAGTAGCTCAAGCCTAAAAGTTTTTTTTTTCTTCGTAAATAGTTATAGTTTAGAATATAGTAATGAAACATAGCTACAGTTTTCATATTTACGAATCGTAACTAGTAGTTGTATCAAGCTGGTATCGGTCAGGGGCAAAGGCTATCAAATAAGAGTTTGTATTTAGGTGGCTAGTATTAGTTGAGTATCAACGTGTATTATAAAAACATGGAAAGAAACGTAT